CTCTTCTCTCTGATTTAGAGCCGGCAGCGCTGAGTAACACTGAGCGTGGGAAACATCAACACTGACCAACACACAAACAACTGGACACGCCCACACTCGACACTCACACACAGCTGGAGTGATAGTTACCTCATCACAACACACACACACACACACACACACACACACACACACAGCAGTAACACAGGCTGTTATTATCATAAAACTGGCGGATAAAAAACGAGACAGTTTACTTCAGAGATTTTCCCCCCAGACAGGTTTGTTAACGTTAAACGAAAAAAATCTACGGTTTCAAACACGGATGTAGATCCAGTGGATCAGAACTGATCCAGGCTTAAATAAATGAAGCAGGTACTGGCTAAAAGAAGCCCCGCCCACCTCTCGCCCCCAAACCCACTGTCACAGAGCCTTAGACGACGTCCACATGAGAGAACCCTGGCTGACCCCTTTAGCAGTCACGGTCAACACCAGCAATAACAGCCTGCCAGAGTTAATATTACCACTCAGAACTCATTCAAACATGCGGATTAACATACGGATTCAGATTCTTTCAATCCATTTCATGTGTGTGTGAACGCAGGAGATTTGGGTTTATTAAGTAATTAAGTTTGTGTCTTTTTTTTTCCTCAAGCAAAGTTAGAGATTATGAAAATTGTGGGCTAGATTAGCGCTAGAAAGCGCAAGATAAACATGTGGATTCAGGTTCTGATTCTTTCCATCCATTTCAGGTGTGTGTGTGTGAACGCAGAAGATTTGAGTTTAAGTTTGAGTCTATTTTCTCAGGCAGAGTTACATATTCAAATTGTGGGCTAGATTAGCACTAGAAATGCATCATTCTAAAAGTGAGCTTCACAAACTTCAGAATGTTTTAAGTGTCAATTATGAATGAGGATTTGAAAGATAATGATAATTTAAAAAAATCCTAATAAAAAGAATTAAAAAAGATGCAAGAATCTATTCAATCATTTGATTTCACAGCTTTCATAATGGTTTACATTTATTTTTGAACAGGATTCTCAAAATGTTACCATTCAGAAAATGTCAGGTGGGACACCCACACATTACTGTAACAAAAAAGTATTTTAAAGTAAAATATTTACTTACTACGTCTACTGAGAACCTGTATCAACCCCCCCGTTATCATCCGTTGCACCACATGACATTCGAAGAAAGTTAGCCTTTTAATAGCTTAATAGTTCATCTGCATATATCGCATGACATTTCTAGCATTAGGGAGGAATAAGTGCCTAAATTAATTTTATTTTGACGCAATGAAAATATATTCAGATAAAGAAAGTGCTGCAGTATTATGTTATGTTATGCGTCATGTATTTGACTCTATGGATTCTATGGAAACGTCCATTTTTGTGTCCCTGGTGTTTACAGATATATTACACCTGAAAATCATGTTTGGGTTACAATTTATTTATATTTGAAAATAAAACAATAAGTTATTTTAACAATTACACCTTCTTGAGCCTCAATTTATCAATATTTGTTTTTAAATCAATTATATAGAATTCCAAGCACCACAGAAGAGCTCGTCCTCACAGTCATGTGTGAAGGCTGAGGCCATATTTTGAAGAAAAAAATGTTTTTCTGCCATTTTAACTACAATAATCTATACATGACTATGGAATATATAAATTAAATGACAAAGAAAACAAATAGCAAATAAATATTATAAAATATATAATAAAGCTGTGGTCCCCAGGAGTCGTGTCACTGGTGTTACTGCGCAACAAAAAATCTCTTATTTTGAAATAAAAATCACACTGATGACATCACTTGACTTCCTTTTACCTGTTTTCTGAGGATCTATGAAGAAAAGCTCATGGTGAGTCCACTGAGTCTTTCAGTTATCAGAGATTTTCTCATTTAGCTCATGATTTCATATGAAGCTTTCAGCTGAAGTCACTGGTGTGACCGACTTTATTCTGAGGTAATTGTGAAAAAATAGAATACAAATGGATTAAATTACATATTTTAGTGGATATTCCATGACTGACAACATGTGGTTTGATGCTCTGTAGCAGCCGTTTAGTAAAATGCATTTAAAAATCTCTCTGGTGTTCCCTTTATTATGTGTAACACCAATGTGGATCAGTAACACCAGTGACACCTGTGGAGAGATAAAGTGGACGTTTCTGTAGAATGACCCACTTATTAAATCAACTTATAGCATTCTTATTTACATAGACCAAAAAAAAAAGAAAAAATCAATGATTATTTATTATAGCGTCTAATAAAGTACTCTAACTTTTTATTGTCTTTATTCTATGGAATTTATAGAACATAAAACATCTATATCTATATAAAATCTTTCATGATGGACTGAATTGTATCCTAAGGATTGTAACTCAGCTCAGAGATTTACACCACAGGGAAAAGAAACACTCCAGGAAGAAAAATGTCCAAGACAAGACTTCCCTAATTTGAATGAGTGACCACAGAGTAAATTTAGTTTTGCTCATAAACCAGTTTAGCCCTGCGGTTTTCCTCACTCCATTCATCTACACTCACTTCAGTCTGATTAGACTGAACTTACTGCACTCGTTTACTGCTTTACTGATGTCGCCGCTTTCCTTTCATTCAGTAATACCGAAGTGTATATAAGCATATAAAATATATATATAAAAATATACAGAAATAATGCCGCTCACTTTAACACTGCTGGTTTTCTCTGTTCCTTCAGAAGCTGAGAAAAGACAGACGAGCCTCAAGCCCAGTAAACTCCTCCTGGCCTCAACTACAGCTTACAGACCATCGGACAACATGTAATTAAGACACTGCTGCTTCAACCGCTCACGACACGAAGCTCAGACAGACACACACCCCTAAAGATCAACAACACGGACCCGGAAGGCTTCTGATTTACAGAGCCACGTCACAGAAACCTGAACATATATGGACACCAAGCTGCAACAACAGGCCATAAAGAATTACTTGTCTGATCTCACAGAAACACTAACAGAGGGGTGCAACGAATAATCGACTTCACATTACCAGGCTGAAGTGGCACAAATCTTTTTTTGCCCTAATATGACTCAGATCTGATGTTTTCAGAGCTGTGTGGACAAATCTGATCTTTTCAAATCCAACCTGAGTCACTTTCATATGAGGTCCTGGATCGGATACCTATCTGATTCGTGGCAATGCGACCTTAATGTGACGTTCAGATCGGAAATCGTGCTTTTTCCCCACTGCGTGTGACCATCATTCAGCGTTACCATGGCAACAGCGCCGAACAGAAGTTAAAGCCTGTAAACGGTGGAAAAGCAGCTCATCTCGCCTTTTTCTCCTTCGTCTCGCTCTAATAATGAAGCTGAGAGCTGATCAGAGTTAATGATCTTCTTAAAAACTGAACAAACACATTCAAACAATCTATATGATTTAAATGTTCCTCAATAATGTTTGGAGGAGCAGCAGCACCTAAACTTTGCAACTACAAATGGAATCGTGTGGTTTGGTCTGATGAGACAAAAAAAAACTGTCTAGTCATGCGCACCATCACACTTGGTGGAAAAAAGGACTGTGGTGGATCACCGGTGCTTTAGCGCTGCTCCTGCTCCAGGGGCTCAACGGCATGATAAATAGAAGTAGAAGAGTTTAGCCCAAAATCTGTCAGCCTGTGCCAGAAAGCTGCTGTGGGTGGACCTTTCAGCAGGATAATGACCCCAAACACACATCAAAACCAAGGAAATGCATCAGAAACTCAAGTGTAAATAATAATTAGCTACATTAGGCTCACAGCTCCAGTGCAAAACTAAAGAAGCAAACTTCAGACAGTCAGGCTCAATCCCAGTTCACCCCTCGCCCCTGCCACCGAGCCCTTAGCCTATTGTTTTGGGTGTTCACGTTTAGGGGCACACTACAGCCTGTAACTCAGTTCTAAGGGGTTTAGGAGACACTCGAAAACAATGGGTTGGGGTAAAAATAACAGAGGATTGGGCCTAAATATACCCTGAGGAAGGACAGGTTCAGCTTTTCTCGCATAGCCGTCACAACAAGAGTCCAGATTCAAATCTGCCTCACACAAATCAAAAACAGAGCTGTTATTTTCTACAGCAGCTCTTCTCTTCCTCCTCTCGCCCTCACTGGTCAGCTCTGGTAGGTCTCAGCAGTGAGACTGCAGTGCTCTCTGAACTGCAGTAAATCACCCTCCACCGCAGCCCACAGACACACTTCAGGGTCTTGCTGGAGAGACTAGTATTGTACTGTGTGTGTGAAAGGTGGGTGTGGTAGGCCAGGCTGGTTACACTGGGTTTATGATTGTACTGCAGCTGTTATTCTCTGGCGTTCAGCATCATTAGAGCTGCACAGTGTGAACAACATAATAGTACTGTGACCATGACACGCTTTTAATCATATTACTCACATTAAAACAGTGATGTGGTCAAAGATCGGCCTGCAAAACAGTTTTTTTTATTTTCATCTAAACTCCCACAGAAACTCATCTGGAGCTATGACTGGTCAGAATGCTTGGAAGGGTCATTTGGGCCAAATCTCACTTCTTATTTTTACCCCTACCCCTTGTTTTCAAGTGTGACTTTGCTCCTTGGAACTGAGTTACAAGCTGTAGTGGTTGAAATCTTCCTCTATGAAATGAGACCCTCAAATAAAAAGAGCATCACTTCATTAACAGCTACCAGCGCTGCTCTGTAGGCGACCCTGCCAGTCTGCAGTGACAGCAGAGGAGGGTAAAGTTCAGCTCCTCACTGCTGGGCTTTAGTTACATTTAGGGCATCATATGCCTTCAAAGAGGGGGGCAATTATTTATTAATCACCCACCCCTAATTCTTCACTGAAGAAAACGACCATAATACACTGAAACAACGTGAAACTAAGATAATACAGTGGTTTTCTAAAAACTTTTAACAGTGAAAATACACCACAAATATGTGGGATGCATGTATGAGACAAGCCTTAAATGGTGCAGCAATTGCATTCAGACGTGCGTGCAAGGATCTGGTGGTCCGGAAGGGGGGAAGGATTCTTACAGGGCTCTGGAGTATCTGTGTAACTCTCTTCTTCTGCTCCATCATGTGGAAGTCCTGGCGCAGGTCGGGCGACATGTTGCGGCTGCGCTGGTACTCCGGGTCGTTCTCGTTGATTCGGTCGAAGTACCTCTCCTTCTGACCCGCGCTGGGCGGAGGAGGGGTCGTCACCACCTCTCTGCTCATATCAGCACCTGTACTGTTCTACACTTCACCTGCAGAGAGAGAGAGAGAGAGAGAGAGAGAGAGAGAGAGAGAGAGAGAGAGAGAGAGAGAGAGACTTATTATTGTACATTACAGTCACTGTTATTGAGATTCTTACTGCAGCTGAATCTGTCACTGACAATTATACTTATAACTGATTAATCTGATTATTACGTCTCCCAGGAAGGTCAAAGTTCTGTCTGCGTGAGAGATTTATTTGTTTACGGTGAACAACGCGAACGAAGCCGTATCACCACTACACTCCCAGCACTGTCCTGCAGTCTAACCATAACTAGATGTGAACATTAAACAGCAGAGATGGGGACTAGATTTAAATAGAACAATAATTTTGTGATTGACATGTGTGATAATGTTAATAATAGGGCCTGCAACAAACGATTAATTTGATAGGCGAATAATCTATCGATTACTGAAACGAATAATCGATTATTCAGATTTTATACAACAGTTAGTTCCGGCCACGCAAGCTGATTGGTTGAGAAGCGTTCTGACTGCTGTTATTTCACCATAACGTCACAGGTTTTTCACAAACACTATCACTCTGCTGAGACGCTGTTGCTAAGCAACGACTGACAGCTGTAGGAGACGCTCAAGCCATCTGAACGTTTTTACTTCTTACTTTGCCACAAACAGAAAACGGACACTTTTAAGATCACATTTGACCGACAGCCGATTTGGTCAGACTCTGAAGATGAGACGACACTAAATTCCCAAACTGTCATCACCACTGAGCAGCTTTTCAGTCGGCAGCTGAGACAGAAGAACAGCTAAACAACCTGGAATCAGCCAGAAATGAACCCAACACCATTTGCCAAACTAAATGGGCTGTAAGATGTTTTACAGACTGACTGGAACAAAACAACATTAATACTGATCTGGCAAAAACTGACAAAACTGAGCTGAACTTGATATTGTGGCAGTTTTATGGCTCAGTCTGTCCTTCAAAAGGCGAGGCTTACAGCAGACTGAGCAGCGAGTGGGCGGCGTTCATTACTCTGACGTAGCAACAAGCTGCTTGTTAAGGAACTATAATTTGGTGAAGGAACTGCGAACATTAAAACATATTAAACGCCGCGTTTACGGCCCAGTTTATTAATTTATTACTTTATTTATTTAACTGTTGTATAAAAGCAGTAGAACACTCGAGGAGCAAGGCACCTAACCCCCAACTGCTCCCCGGGTGCTGCGGATAGGGCTGCCCACCGCTCCAGGCAAGTGTGCGTTCGCTAGTGTGTATGTGTTTCACTGCATGGATGGGTTAGATTGCGGTGGTGAAATTCCTACATTGTGGGACTAATAAATAATCTAATTAATCTTAATCTAATGTCAAAACATTCCTGGTGAGAAGTGAAAAATGAGTTTTGTTACATTAGTAATGTAATGACAGCTCATCAGGCTGCAGCAGTGGGTTGTGGTCGTGGTTGGGAGCGGTGTGGTTTCGTTGTCCGGAACCACGTCACGAGACCGAGGACATTTATATTGTGGTTTCAGTCTCGGTTCCAGAATCGTTACACCCCTAAAACACTCTCAGATATAAACGTTCAAAACCGTCACTGGGGCAGTTCCCCTCTCATCCCTGGGTACCCTCAAGAGTACATCTCTACATACAGTCAGGGAACAGAGATATTTTCTAAAGCTACGTTCACATTATAAGCCTCTTTGTTCAAATCTGATCTCTCTGACGTGATGGTTCACACTCGTTTAGGTAAGTGATTCAGATCTGTCATTAATGTGACGAACCGGCGTCCTGAAATGACCCTCATGAGCTCATCCTACTCAGTAACGTCACGTGAATGAATCACAATCATCATCAGCACAAACTAACGAGCAGAACGAGCTTCACTGAGAAGATCATTAACTCTGATCATCTCTCAGCTTCATTATTAGAGCGAGACGAAGGAGAAAAAGGTGAGATGAGCTGCTTTTCCACCGTTTACAGGCTTTAACTTCTGATCGGCGCTGCTGCCATGGTAACGCTGAACGATGGCGCACGTGTAGTGAAAAAAAGTACATGAATTCCGATCTGAGCGCCACATTAAGGTCACATGGCCACGAATCGGATACGTATCCGACCTAGGACCACATATGAAAGTGGCTCAGGTCGGATTTGAAAAGATCAGATTTGTCCACACAGCCTTGAAAACATCAGATCTGAGTCACATTAGGGCAAAAACACAGATTTATGCCACTTCAGCCTGACAGTGTGAATGTAGCCTGAGTTGTACTGACTCCACACACCCCGTCTCGTCTCCAGGCTTTTTATTTTACTGTTCTGTTTTAAAACATTTGGTTATCAAAAGGTACAAATACAAACTTTTCACCTAGAAAAACGCATTTAAGGTTCACAACTGGACCTTTAAACCACTGCTGCACTTTTGAGGGAACGTTTACATTGTCTGTACTTTGATTAACGAAAAGTGTAAAGGCTGAAAGAGAAGATGACAGAAAACATCTCAGCAAGTGTGACTGAGAACAGAGACTCTGTACAGGAGCCACCTATGACTTTCAGTACTACAGCAGACTGAGTCAGTCAGGTACACACAGCTCTGCACAACAACTGTGGTTACTACAACAGAAACCACCCTAAACAATGATAAACAGAGAGACAGATCGGCACACAGACAAACGGAGAGACAGATCGACACACAGACAAACGGAGAGACAGATCGACACACAGACAAACAGAGAGACAGATCGACACACAGACAAACAGAGAGACAGATCAACAGATAAATGAGGCGCTGAAAGAAGTACTCAGGGCTGAAAACAGCTTATTTGGCAGGCAAAGCAGACGGAATCTTTTACTACTACTGCAGCACAGACACGCACACAGACACCCAGAGACACAGACACCCAGAGACACAGACACCTGCACAGGAGAGAGATCAGAGAAACAGAACTGCTCTTACAGACACATCCTGAGATGTGAGAGGGAGAGAGAGAGAGAGAGAGAGAGAGAGAGAGAGAGAGAGAGAGAGAGAGAGAGAGAGAGAGAGAGAGAGAGAGCGCGCCTCAGAGAGAGGAGGGAGGACAAAGAGGAGAGAGAGGAGTGATGAGAAAGAGGGGAGAGAGAGAAAAAGAAAAAAGGGGAAACACGGGAGGGATATAGGGCAAAGGTTAGAGAGAGAAAGAGGGGAGAGAGGCAAAGAGGGGAGAGAGCGAGAGAGGGTAAGAAGAGAGGGACAGAGTGGAGAGAGAGAAAGGTGGAAGAGAGAGGCAAAGAGGGGAGAGAGAGAGAGAAAGAGGAGAAAAGAAAGGTAAGGAGGGGAGACAAAGAGAAAGAGGGGAAGAGAGGCAAAGAGGGGAAAGAGAGGGGGAAAGAGGGGACAGAAAGAGAAACAGGTGGAAGAAGAGGTAAAGAGGGGAGAGAAAGAGAAAGAGGGGAAAAGACAGAATGAGGGAGAAAGAGAGAGAGAGAGAGAGAGAGAGAGAGAGAGAGAAGAGGGGAGAGAGAAAGAGAAACAGGTGGAAGAAGAGGTAAAGAGGGGAGAGAGAGAAAGGGGAAAAGACAGAATGAGGGAGAAAGAGAGAGGGGAAGAGAGAAGAAGGGAGAGACTAAGAGAGGGGGAAAGAGAGAAGAAGGGAGAGAGTAAGAGAGAGGGGGAAAGAGAGAAGAAGGGAGAGAGTAAGAGAGAGGGGGAAAGAGAGAAGAAGGGAGAGAGTAAGAGAGAGGGGGAAAGAGAGAAGAAGGGAGAGGGTAAGAGAGAGGGGGAAAGAGAGAAGAAGGGAGAGGGTAAGAGAGAGGGGAAAGAGAGAAGAGGGGAGAGAGTAAGAGAGAGGGGGAAAGAGAGAAGAGGGGAGAGAGTAAGAGAGAGGGGAAAGAGAGAAGAGGGGAGAGAGTAAGAGAGAGGGGGAAAGAGAGAAGAGGGGAGAGAGTAAGAGAGAGGCGGAAAGAGAGAAAAAGGGAGAGAGTAAGAGAGAGGGGGAAAGAGAGAAGAGGGGAGAGAGTAAGAGAGAGGCGGAAAGAGAGAAAAAGGGAGAGAGTAAGAGAGAGGGGAAAGAGAGAAGAGGGGAGAGAGTAAGAGAGAGAGGAAAGAGAGAAGAGGGGAGAGAGTAAGAGAGAGAGGAAAGAGAGAAGAGGGGAGAGAGTAAAGAGAAGAGGGGAGAGAGAAGAGGGGAGAGAGAGAGAACGGACAGAGAGAGATGTCATGAACAATGAGAGGAACTCCATCCTTCGAGTCTTTTTCCCCCACTTTCTAATATTTAGCTAGATTTTATCAGGACACTGAGACTCCATTACAGCAGCTCTCAGTGTCTCTCTCCCTCCCTCCCTCCCTCTCTCTGAAGGGTTAATCCGGAGAGCATTACAGACGGCCACAGAACACCAAGCTTTACCAGATGGTCTGGGAGCGAGTGAGAGAGTGAGAGAGTGAGAGAGAGAGCACAAGAGAGAGGGGAGAGAGAGAGAGAGAGAGAGAGAGAGAGAGAGAGAGAGAGAGAGAGAGAGAGTGAGAGAGTGAAAGCCAAGGAGTAAGATATCTCCCTCTCTCTGTTCTGATGAGTTCCTGGGCAGTTCTTGCTCTAAGCTGCTCACGGGGGTCAAATGGCATTTAAAAAGATGTTCAGATTAGTGACGCAGCTCTGCCTCTGAGACACGGGGGAGAGAGAGAGAGGGAGAGGGAGAGAGGGAGAGAGAGAGAGAGGGAGACCAGACCGACCGACTCCGACTCCAGACGAGACTGATATCCCACATCTACAGAGCAGAATTCCTGAGGGTGGGAGATACGGCAAAAACAAAAATAAAGATAGTGGCACAAAAACGTATTTGGACTTTAACTACTGATAAACCTCAATAAGGATCTATACGTCATCAAACCTTCAGCACAGCGTCAGGCTGATGGTGGACTCTGTGGTCTGGACGCAAACCTGAAGACGTCTGCAACGAAACCGCTTAAATATCACAAAATGCTTTAATTTTCTATTAATATTAGCCTGTTTCACAATGCCACTACAATCCCCAGCATGCACTGCAACATTATGTGTGCTCCAA